CAGTAATGTGAATGATCATTATGCTACTTCGCATTTCATTATTTGAAGTGAATTTGTAAAGAATCAGATATAAGTCTATGAAACACGATCAGGTCTTGTTAATGTATCACTTGGTCCTGGACAGCATGGGCTTGAATTTAGCGGCCATCTGCCTGGCGCCCTCGAGACAGATCTCTTCGTAGCCAGGCATGGTATCGGCGCAGCGCTGCAGCCAAGCCTCCACTTCAGGGTGGCGGGTGAGATCTACGCCGAGCTCCCTGCCTCACAATTATAATATTGAAAACACCATAGAGCATGGAACTAAAGTGCAAGAATAATTACGATGAGTACATGAACGCAGCGGGAACATGGACATCACCTTTTTAAAATAAAACTATCATCCTCCCATTGAAACGCAAGTTTAAGAAAAGGGGCAATCAAACCTGGCAAGATAAGAACTAAATCACACACTATTTCCAATACACAACATTCCTATTCAGTAATGAGTGAGAGATATTCATATCAGAATGACAATTTATTTTAGATAACTAAGAAAGTTGAATATTATCGACATAATCAAAGTACGATAGACAACAATATAATTTGCTTACATATTTTTTTTTGGTAAAATATGAAGAAGAAACTATCACCGCGTGCGAGCCAATCAAGTGTATTTAATGAAATATTTCTCAAGAACTTTTCAGGTAATATGCAGTCAATCATCTTTCAAACGGATTATGGGTGTAGTAATTATTGTCGAATAATAATAATCTGTAAGAATAAACATTAAGATCGGCGCTCGGCTTTTTGAACGTGCGTAGTAAAGTAATGTATTTTTGAACGAATGTCCTGAAAAATTCTGGCGTAGCCTAATTAAGATCATGAAAAGATATGGGGCTAAACCAGGAATGTATGCCTTTATCGCTACGTGACGTTCAAAGAGGGCAAGTATGAAAAAGATTATCAATTAAACATGATATAAACAGAAGTTATGAAAAGTGCAGATAAGGATAAGCGATCGGAATATCAATGATTAAAGAAATCGAATATAAAATTGATATGAAAATATTCGAAACACTATCATGTCTGCATGAAAGTTAATGCAAACTCGTGGCGCAAAAAGTAAATGTTCATTGAAGCTAAATATATGACTAAGGTACAAAAGTAAAATATTGTAATGAGTATATTATTGAAGAATTACCGATACGTGGTGATGGCACAAGCTAGGGTGTGGTCGGCCACCGAAACAGAGTCCCCGACGACGAACTTGGTCGAGTTCCTCTTGAAGTGCTGCTCCAGCTTGTCGATGGCCTCGTGCAACTTCTCCTTCTTCTCAGGGTCAGGCAGGGCATTTTCCTTCATCACCGGGTGCTGAAATAGTAAAATCACAAAAATTTCGACTTCAGAGGAAATGAACAGTAGAATTAATCAGGCGATATAACTTAGAACACGAAATGCCAACCTTTAGTCATGAGTAACGATCATGAACTAGTTAGTCCTATCCAGATTAGGTACATCCGGTCAACTGTTGAAGAACATTAATGAAGCTTAAACGTTCTACGATTGCTGCTATAGTTCAGATGTTCTCAGTAACGTGTGGATTTCTTCCATCGATGATTATAACTTATTTCGTTCTGAAAAATAAGGTGTTATTCAAAGAACAGGTATCTTTTAGACACATACCGGGCGGTACCGGGCATAATGAAACAGTACTTGCACAACGTTACGCGACTCACCGCCCAGGCTCGGAAGGTCTCGTGAAGGCCCATGTCGTAGTAGAGGAAGCGGTCGACGAGTGCGCGCTTCTTGGGGTCGGTTGGGTAGATGCTGTCGTCTTTGCCGTACTGGCCG